TACAACCACCCTTGGGTACTTTACACACATATTTATGATCTAGCCTGACAAGTTGGCGTAGGTGGCGCCCTGGACTGCTGCGATCCCCACCAACGCCTGACAGAATAGTGTAGTTTTTTCTTATCTCCGACAACTTTTTGTCGGCACCAATCAGATTTCAGAAACTATTGATTTTGACATTCGTCATAATTTAACCATTCACGAAGCGTTGCGATTGTTGAGACAACAACTTATCACTTCTGATCGTCTTCCTGCCCATTATTTACCAACTCGTTGAAAAGTATGTGTGAGGTTGCCGACAGCACGCGTCAAATTGCCGTGGACACAAGTACCAGTTAAATGTTCAACTTAATCATCAACTCTATCAAACAGGCTAATGTTGAACTTGAGAGCAAATTGAACATCCAGTTGAAGTCTGAACAAAAACTCGGAATTGCGTCACTGTATCGGGGCATGGAAGGTACTAACGGAAGGAGCCACGACGTTCGTACCTTCCATGATCGGGGTGAAGATGCGTTGATTATTCTACCAACTGGCTTTGGGAAATCACTGATTTATTCGCTGGCGCCAAAAGCATTCGACATTTGTTCAGAAAGTTCTGGCTCGATAATATTGGTTATTTCCCCTTTAATATCTCTGATGTTTAAAGTACGGGATTGTTGACTTGTTATCTTTATCGTGCGTAATCTTGAGTGGCGTTTGTTTATATTTAGCACGTTGTAATCTATGACTAACAGAGTTACCATGACTACTTCATTGAATATTCATAACTACACAACAGAATCTAGATCTGGGTGTGGAGTTTCTGTTTTGAAATTGCCGACGAAAACTACACTATTCTGTCAGGCGTTGGTGGGGATCGCAGCAGTCCAGGGCGCCACCTACGCCAACTTGTCAGGCTAATTTAGATCCCTTGTAGGGGGAATTTGACACTTCTGTAAACAAAAAATGCCAAATTCCTCTAATTCAACCTGCACTTCACCACTGGGGGTAACAATGTATTACCTGCAAGATTGAAACTACTGGTACCGTAAAATCTGTATTAGAAGCCGCATCTCTAATAGAAGTCGCACCCAATCTTTTTGAATAATTGAGAATCAAAAATTCATTATTTCTCATAAGTGTAGATGCTCTAATATGGTACAAGCCGCATCCTCTCTGTTGCATTCTACCATTTTAATAGAAGTCGCGGCTTCTAATACAGATTTTACAGTAGTAACACTTGATTTCCTCCTTTCAGTTTATTTTTCAGCTGCAAATAATTTAGTTGTGGTTCAGCAAAGAGCTCCCCTTGTTAAAGTAAGTATCCAATAACAACATACATTTTCGTTATGTGACAGTACCAGGGTAGAATGGCTGGATCTAGTTGCCATGGTTATACTTAGTAATACCGGTAATAATAATAATAATAGCTTTTATTTCGAGAACCAGCTCATGACAGAAAATTTAAAATTACTAAAAAAAAAAAAACACAACAGTAAAATAGAAATTAGAAATAGGGTGCCTTAGAAATATCTGAGAAGACCCTTTTCCAGTAGTTGCTGTTTCTTAACATGTCAATAAACATGGCTGCCTCAATTAAACAATTCTCACTAACAGTCATCTTGTGTAAAATCCAGCCTTAGACTTGAGCAGAATACTATGTATACACATATGTACCGGTAATACACATGTAAAACATTCATTCATCAGAAACCTTGATCAGTTCAAACATGATAACGAATCTTATTGCATTTGTAGGGAAAACATGCAGACTATTGCAATGGTTTGATAGATTGGATAACAAGTTTTCAATTTGATAAAGTTATCATGCTTACTAGTAGCCATGCCTATGAAAGATTGGACTCACAACTACAAGGGTAAGTGGTGTCATCAGATGATTAAGTAGATAAAACATTTTTACAGTAATCAGTATTCTTAATTGGTGATGCATTCCACCTACATGGGGGAGTTTAGTTGCAGGGTAATGACTTCCGGTAAGTAAGAATTTAAAAATGGTTCTATTAATCTTTTGATGTTGTTAGAATTATTACAACATAATTGGTGTTATTATTGGAGACCATTTTGGTTTTGAAAGTTTTTATTTTTACATGTTTTAATTCCATCTCTATGTAAAAGCTACATTGGAGAATGTTTTTTTTTATTCTTTTAATTTTGAGATTTTTTTTCATGAAGATGTTGTTGTAAAACTGTTTACTTTTCTGCTATTAATTGTGTATGGACTTTCACACAATTTTGTTTCTGTAGTTTTTCCTGTACATTTTTTTAAAATTAAAATTTTTGTCCACAGATTTGTTTTGTAGACTACGGTATCCCAAATAGCCCCCCCTCCCAATTAACTAATGATCTACTCTGTGGCATGAAAAAACGAAAAGTGTCAAAAACAATAATAACATTTTTTGGAATGATATTGACAATGACTGAAATCACTGTATGTAAATTTTCAAATTTGTTTTCTTTTAGCTCCTCATTCAGATACATAGCTACTCCTAAACTAGAAAAAATCATTGGTGATCAGATGAAAGATGAATTGAAGTGGTGTCGGCTGGAAAACAGAGATTCCACGTGGTGTAACGAACATAAAAATGAGACGTCAAAGATATCAAGCGGTGTCTTTATACCTGGCGGTGGTATTGCTAAAAGGCTCTATACCCAGTGGTAAGTCAGTAAAATCTTCAACGTACTAGGGAGTGCAGGATGCTTAACTCCCTAGATAGGACTAAATATTAAGGATTTTATTATGGTTCAGTGCAACGTTAAGAAACATTTGTTTGATATTTTATATACGAGATGGAACAGTTTGACTTGTTCATTGCAGTTGTAATAAGGATATATCCATGGCAGTGTTACTGGTGTTCTGTTCAGAAGGTGACAACATATCAGATGCACTATCCTTAACAACGTATTTAAATCACTGGTTGAAAGTTATACCAACAAAGGTAAATGTATGCTTATGTCACATAAAAATTATTGGTAGATTACTTCATATTGTTGTCATAAAAAGTTGAATGCATGTATGAAAAGTCATGTGTGTTTTTAATATATGGATCCCATTACGATATAAAAATCCTTGTGGGCCGGCAGAGCTACGTCACAAGACGTCTACCACGTTGCTAAGTTGCGCACCACTGTACCATGCATTTCTATCGGCTCTGCGCATGCTTCTGTGGAACCCCAGTCGAAGAGCCGTTGAAAATAACTGGATGCCCAGATGTTCGCCCCAGAGGATAGACCTTTAGTCAAGGAAATTGGTACAAGCAATAATTACCTTTTTGTTAGTAAGGCAGAGCTTGACACGATGTGTATTTCTATAGCCCCGATAAGTAAATTTGCCATTCAGACAACTGAATAGTAACTATAGTAAATATATCGGCAACGTATATTTTGGCAAGTTAAAAAATTAATGTCATGGCTTATTGGACCACCAAAAAATACTTTGGGGGAAGTGGTAAATTTAAATATATTTTTGGAGAGGTTGAAATTTATTATTTAAAATAATTGATCCTTTTAGGTGGAAAATAGAAAAGTTATTTTTTTTATGTAAGTTAGGTGGTCTAACAAACAATACTGTGGTGCTAGAGGATCAATGAAAGATGACATACTCCTTGGCAGTGATAAAAAAGCACATGCAAGTTTTTCAAATCAAATGGCTGTAATATCTTAGTGTTTTATGCTAATTTTTCAGGATCCATCAGATGTGACATCATCCAGAGTGTGGCAGATTCCAAAGTCATGGAGTTTGTTATTTGGATCAACTTTTGATAAGTCAATTTATTAAACCTGTTTAGTTATTATATTGTTGATGAATAAAAATCCTTTTTTAAATTACAACAGTTACAATTTCAGTTCTTCAGAGCTCCAATGTACCCCAGGCGCTGGAGGTTGTAATGTTCCGCTCGCCCGGTAGGATAATGCTACACAAACAACACTCCAGTCAAACGTACCTCCAATGTAACAAAGCTATATATTTTTAATATTTAGCAAGTCATGCATGACATTCCATTATTTGATATTTTGGTCATGTATCTTGTCAGACAAAATTATATCATATCACACTGATTTCAACCCTAAACTAATCAGGTTTGCGCATTATCCAAGGGCATCTATGTATTGAATGGTACTTAAAAAACAAATGAAAATGCCTAAAATGTGCTGAACAATATGCAAATTAGGTTATTAATATGCATAGATCTGTGAATAGTCGTGAAGCATCCATATACCTTGTCGAAATGTTAAGTACTTGAAACAGCAGAAAATTTACTAATTATACAAATTAAGTAATTAATGTGCACAAGCATCCTAGAGCATCCATGTACCTAATTTCATTGTAGTTTGATGATTAGTACTTGAGATATCAGTGAACAAGCTGAAAAATTGACTAATCAAGATAATATGCATGGTATTTCAACCCAAAACTAATTAGGTCTCCACATTGTCCCAGAGCGTCCATGTACCAAGTTTCATCAAAATCCAATGACTGGTTCTTTAGATATCAGTGGAATCAGCGAATTATCACACAAATTAGGTAACAAG